TTTCAAGGGTAGTGTAAATGGGGTATATGTCTGGGAGAGAAAAGAGATGAGACACTAAAGATCAGGTCCAACTCTATCATCTAAAATGGAAGTTGCTGCAAAGCTAAAGTTTCAACCTGGTTGATGTTTTAACTTAACAGACCGGCCAGCAGTAGTTACTATGACAATAAAAGACAGAAAAATAAAGTTATTCTACAAATAAGATGAGCTTGAGCTTCGTGAAGCAGAAGCAACGTTCAAGAACCCAGCAAATAGACTTATTGATTGGTGTTTCCTTAGTGCATAATTTTTGTTTAATTGAGTAAGTTTATTATGAGCTACACAACAAACAATATACATTTAAATAAGATCATTATCCCCAGTGTGCATAATACATATTAATGCTTCTACTGTATTTGCACGAATATAAGACAAGGTTTTTTACACTAAAAACGATGTGAAAATGTGGGGTCGTCTTATAATTAGGGTCTAACCGATTATACAGGCTGACAGTGTTCTGGTTTGCTACACGAACCCAACAGCAGAGGAATTTTTATTTTGTAAAGCCAGTGACCTCACTGGGGCTGGGGTCATCTTTCCATCACAACAGAGAAAAAGTGACAAGGATGCTACAAAGGAGAAACACTGCCCAGAACAGAGCAAGACAGAAGACGTCTGTGGGTAAATGCCTCATGAAGATTATTGAGATGTTCATTGTAACCTAAAGTTCAGTTTGCATTCCTGTTGAAGTGTTGCCAGATTTTAATAAAATGTGCACAAATGTAAATGCACAAATCTTTCATTGCAATATTATTTCAATAAAATTCTTAGAACCAACAGAGCAAAGCACTTATTTTATTTTTAGTTTTTTGTCTTTTTTTGTTCCTAAAAATTAGACATGGCAAGAGTGGGTCGTCTTATAATCACGGTTGTCCAATATTTAGGTCAGTACGGTAATTTTTGGTCTTAATGACATGAGGCAAACAAGCTTGAATTAAAGTAGGACAAAGTTGAACTTATTTAATCCCATTCCATATTCATGTAAATTATTTATAGTTGCTATAGTACAGTTTGTTTTTTTGTTGCCTTTTTGGTTATATTTATTTTGCATACATTTTACCTACGTCCATACAAACATACATGTTCAGCTATTTCTGGGAACAGTTTGAATCCGGCCCCTTCCTCTTCCAACATGGCTGTGCACCAGAGGACAAAACAAGGTCCATAAAGACATGGATGCCAGAATTTAGTGTGAAAGATCTGACCGTCCCTCATAGGGTCCTTACCTTAATCTCATAGGGCTCCATTGGGATGAAATAGGGCAGAGACTGAGAGCCAAGCCTTCTCCTCTAACATCATTGTGTGGGGCATTTTTACCAAAGGTTATAGCTTACTGATTTATTATTTCAACCAAGAGTTATCAATAACGTAATTCTTGGTTAAATATTTAATTGACAATTTGCTAAATTACAAGGTGTTATCAACTTGCTTACATGTGCAGCTGGGCCAGCTTTTAACATACAACGTGTCTTCACTGGCAGTAAATAGCACTAACTTAGATTTTAGCTTCAAGCAGTTATTAATCAATAAGCACAGGGACAATGTTGTCTCTTTGAAAGGTATTCGATTAGGCTGTTAGAGAAAATCTGTCAGTCACAATTTAACCACAGGCAAGCACAATTAAACTGGCAGTAGTGGCAAAGATCTCTCTTACAAATAGTCTTAAGGATACAGACCCTTGCTACTCCAGCTACTTAGAAAACACCAGTCTGCTACAGAGCCACACATACCTTGTAGAATCTTAATTTTTACATCATTAACAGAGCTTGCAGGAAAGCAGAACAGCGGTTCGGAATCAGCTCCATCTCAACAGCAAAAGGACGCACCTTGGATGCAACGGTTTGGCTAGAATGGAACCAGGTGTTATTTCAGTACCAATCAACACCAGTCTCCTCATCCTTTATAACTAATGGTACCAGCATTTGCTGGACTTTAAGCCCGAGGGTTCTTATCAAAAGCAGAAAACAGCCAGTTAACCAGCAAAGTTGGCTGCAGGTCTAGGGCGTGGTGGTCCAATAAATGAGGACATATACTTTCCAAAGTCGGGTTTTAAGACTGGTTTATGCTCAGAAACCAGGTCGTCTGCATGTGTGTCGCAAAATTGTGGGTGACCGCAGACAGTGCTGCAGACAGAAGGGCTCTGATTGTTCAATTCCACATCCGTCCTGTTTGGGACCTTACTGGTTTGTTCTGTTTATATGACCGCCATTGTGGAAAATGACTTGTGAAGATGACATCATTTGATCTCACAACAATTTTGTGACCTCACAAATGCACTTCAGGAAGAATGGTAAAAAAAAAAAAATAATAAAAAAATAACATAAACACACTACTAAACCTTGTAAACTACCTTCCCAGAAGAGCTGAAGCTGCAAACTATGAACTTACATCACATTGAACCGCTGTGGATTCCATGGATTATGTTGTGCCACTTAGCTTACCAGAATATTATGAATATATAAAATAACCAGAACTGGAAGTTAGTTAATTGATATGTCATTCAAATCAAGGGTAAAGATAGTTATTTATTATCAGTTAAATGATTATAACTGTAACTTGCTTACTGTCCAGGGTTTTAGCCCCTTTAATAAAAGGATTATACTCCTGAATGTGATCCAGTTGTCTTTCACCAATTTAGTAACTTAGGCTATGGCTCTCAGCAACGTTATTAATCACCAACCAAATAAATCTGTCTTTATTCATTCGGATGCTACTGAAAGAAGAGTGAATCCAACCTGAGTGATAAATCGTTTACTGTGTAAAATGAACACAAAAGACCACAGGTTAAAATACAACGGTGCCTTTATTAGCTACAATCACCAAGTATTATATCTAATAACTAAGAAAACACTAAACTCTAATGAAAATAAGCAAAATTAAAGAAATAACAGCTGAAGAGGGGTTTAAGAGTCTATTCAAAGACTGAGGGATGTTCGAAGTTTAAGGCGTAATGCATTCGAAAGTGTCCTTTATAATAGCAGCAGATAAAATGTAAATAAACCCTGACACAAAGATGTTACCTGCAGTCAAAACAATGAAGTTTCATTCAGTTTATGGTGAAAAATGAATAATGACTCAGGAATGCATTAAGCAATGATGAGGTTGAAAGACCCGTTAGCTTAGCTGACCCCCAGGGGTTCTGTTTCCGGTCGGGTCCAACTGAAACAAAGAGAGGGTTAGCAATGTTACGTTCTTTTTAAATACAAATTCAGTTTTAGGAATAGTTTTAATGCTCTGTATTTTTTATTTTTTAAATGCACTATAGAGACAAACATTTACAGCATATATGCTCGACGCCAGCTAAATCACTGTATTATTTTCCAGCCAGCTCAATTTTTCCTTTGGAGGTCAAGTAAATATGAAGTTAACATTCTACTGTATGATAGGGTACTCTACTGTTATGATATACCACTGTACATTGTTTATTTGATCTTTTCAGAAGGTCAAATGTGGATTATCTATTAGTGCCGTAAGTTTAGGTTGAAAATATTTGTTTGCTTGAATCTTTTTTATACTTATGTTGGTTTTTGTATGTACATTCTTAATCATCCGGGTGTGGTTACTTTACAATTTAAGCCTTTTTGTAGCTTTTTTTTTTTTTTTTTTGCTCTTTTCCAAAGCAGAATTCAAGAGTTTGTACTTAACTTCATATGTTTGGCTTTATTGTCTATAATAATTCTTTGGAATTCATAATCGTTTAGTAAATATTTAAGCAGGCATTTTACTAAATACTTTTTTGAAACCTCTCTTGGAAAGTTTCTTTTTTGCAAAGTTTAAAACTCTCTTTTATTGTATGTGTAGTATTATGCTATTCTAAATGTGAATATGGAAGGAGGTTTTACTATGAGCGTCTTTTCATTGAGGATGAAGGCAGGTTTGACACATTGTGTTTGGGTTTGAAACTACCAGGTCTAGCAGGTGTGGTCATTGGTGGGAAAGCTACCTCATACAGTGAGCAGTAGCATCTGTGTGCTTCATTCAGTGTAGAGAAAAAAAAGCTTCCACTGACAGGCTTACAGCAAGGGAAAAAATCATAGCATTCCCTGGATGACAGACAAATTTGATGCAGTAGATGAGATGTTTGTTCTTTTTTCCCCCTGCATGTTAATTATAAAAAAATCCTATAGCATGATTTATTACAAGAGAGTTAGCTCAAAATTATAAAAATCCCAAATCCCTGCTTCCGCCATGCTTTACCACCCCTATGGAGCCATTTGAACTGGAAATGTGTGAGCAAATTGCAGGTTCCAAAAGGCACAATGCTTTGGCTTTTGGCAGATTTAATTTAAGGGGTGTGGTGAGTAAAAGCTATTAAACTATTTAGTCAAGTTGAATAAACAAAATCAATGGATTTCACTCAGTCAGCATTTTATTTTTTTTGCAAAAAAGAGAACGAGATGGCATAATGTAAAGCCCTGCTTTGGCTAGACAAAGTTTTTCTCTTACTAATTTACACCCTGCAGAAAGGGTGTGAAGGTGTTCACAGACCATTACTCAACACAACTACAGACATTTGGAGAAAACAGTAAAATTTTATGAATGATCCCTGAGAAAAAGCCATTATGAGAACCATGATTTTTATCCCAAACACTCCCTAATAGGATGAACAAGCTCTCTCCCTTAGACACCTTGTTGCCTTGTGGCTGTGATGCGTGAATGACTGAAACTCAGCACAAAGGGGCTCCACCACAGGGGATCGTTTGATTGATTGGCTGTTGGTCTTCTCGTCCCTTCATGTAGGTGGCCTCAAAATAGCATGAATGCATTGATTATCCATAGATGCACCTGCTTTGTACCAATGTCTGAGTCCGGCGGTGGTATCATTGTCTGATCTATATCTACATTTTACCTCTTTCCACCTTTTTAAATTCTCTTGTAAAAATGTGTTCTTTTTTCTGCTTTTCAACACCAGAGGGCGCCATCATCCAGTAGGCGGAGCTCTCCTTGTGCTCTGTGTTCCAGCATTGTGTCAATAATAAGTGTTGCTGTGAAGAGAACAATAGTCAGACTGAATGTTGAACATCAGCTAGTTTCTCCTGCTGATTTAAACCTTGTTGGACAGATGGAACATTGGCTGTGGATTATTCTAGCTGCTCTTTTCTTTGGTAAGATAGAAAGCTCAACATGTTTCCTCTTCAAACACTTGAACACATTACTGAGCTCTACATGAAGAGCTTTAATGTTCATTCTACAGAAAATCAGAGCAGATCATTTCTGCTGCCATTTGTTACCTTGTAGAAACACCTGATATGGTTCAAAGTGACAATGATCAGAGAAAATGACATCTATTCTACATGGAATAGAAGTCTTTAAAGCTGCTGATTGTTCTCCTTTAATCAATCATCTTTATTGATTCATCTCTTCCTCTGCATGTTCTGTTCTTCCTCAGAGTGTAAAGGAGACTCAGTGACGCAGACAGAAGGACATGTTGCTGCTGCTCAAGGAGAATCTGTGACTCTGGGATGTGAATACCAGACTACTTATTCATCCCCCACCTTGTTCTGGTACAAAAAGGAAGAAGATAGTTTCCCACAGTACATGCTGAAGCGTCGGTCAACTATAGAAGATAATGCTCCGGATTTTAAGGACAGATTTGATGCCGACCTCAATAGTAACAAGAAATCCTTTAATCTGACGATCCAGGATCTCCATCTGTCAGACTCTGCTGTGTACTACTGTGCTCTGCAGCCCACAGAGACAGGAAACACCAGAACTCTGTACAAGAACCTGCAGCGCAAAGACTTCACTATATTCAGCAACATCCACTAGAGGGCCTCACCGCCACTCTACTTGGCGTGTCACGATTTAGTCAACTTTTGTTGGGATAAAACTTTTACCACAGAGATGGAGGGTAATGATTTCAAAAACAGAAAGCTGATAAAAATGAGTTTAGCTTGGATTGAATCTAGAAAAATCTTAAACCAAGACCAGCACTTGTTATGATTATAGGTAAATTTTAACAGGTAAAGAATACACAGTTTAAGTTTTTCCCCCTTCCAGCCAATGTATGTGATGTATGTGATGAACGGTTTCTACTGAAACTGAAATCTCGATGTAAATCGTAGTTAACTATAAAGAAATTGATTGATTGATTGTTTTGATTTATATATTCTGAAACTGTTTCAAAACATTTGTGGGACGTTTTTAAGCCTTTAAAATATGAGGATTACTCTTAAAAAAAGAGAAATGTTTCAATATTTTTCATCTTCATTTAAAAAAATTTAAGTTTAAAAATGATCTAATACAGAAATTGATCCATCCATCTATTTTAAATCACGCTTATCCCTGCTGGGGTTGCGAGGGGTGCTGGTGCCTGTCTCCAGCTGTCAATGGGTAAGAGGCAGGATTCACCCTGGACAGGTCGCCAGTCTATCGCAGGGCTCCATAAACTGAAAAATGACGATAATTAGATTAGAAAATAAATTATTAGAAGAACAACAGCAACATGGATCATCATAGACCGAAGAATATTATTACTTAAACTTAAACTCAATATAAGAGTTTAAATGAATTTAGAACCTAAAGACTTTATTTAAGGATCCCCATTAGTCTCCATGAAAGTAGAGCCTACTCTTCCCGGGTCCATTTTCAACAAAAATCATCACAATTAGTTTATACAACAAACTTAAATTAGAAAAAACATTATTAAGAAATCAAAGCAAACAAAACAGAAGCAAAAACATACAACCTGTTGTCCAAAAAGAATTTCCATATTAACTATAGATTTCTTAAGATTTAAAAGAGACATGATTTTGTATCAATCTCATATTCTGTGACAATATATTCCACAGAGAGATGACGCGATGTATGAATGTGTTTTTTAATGCATTATTTCTTGGAAGAGGCAAAGTAAAAGATTAACAGCTTGTCTTGTATTAATCCTGTGTCTGCTCTCAGTAGGCTCTAGTTAAGAGAACAGGCTCAGGAGTTTGTGTAAAGTCCAGATTTTATGCCAAGATACCAAACAACAGCAAAACAATCTATCTTTGACTTTCAGCCACGACAGTCTCTGATGCAAGACGACAGCATCTATTCAAAATGTGCATCCCAGAGCCAGTCTCACTGCCCGATTCTGAGCTATCTGGAGTCTGCTGAGCTGTTTTTCAGCAGCGTTTGCCCAGATAATAGAGCAATAGTCCAAGTGACATAAAGCTAAAAACTCTATTACCATTTTCCTTGTTTCAATTGACATATAATTGGCATTGTCCCTAATTAATGAGATATTTCTGCTCATTATTGTCAAAATGAGTCAAAACTTCCTGCAGCTTAATGCCTCAAAAACAGAGGCCATCCAAACTGGTACTTCTCATCCACTTTGTTCCTTTCCTCTCACCTCTGTTTCATTCTGTGGTACTACCATTCCCTTGTCTCCCTCTGTTACAAGCCTTGGGGTCAAGCTTGACCCCCACCTTTCCTTTGACAATCATGTCACCTCCATCTGCAAAATGTCCTTCTTTCACCTCCGTAATATTTCCAAACTCCGCCCCTCCCTATCCCTCCCTGCTGCAGAGAAGCTCGTCCACGCCTTCGACTCCTCCAGGCTGGATTACTGCAACGCTCTCCTCATGGGGATCTCTGGCAGGAGCCTTCAGAAGCTCCAGTACGTACAGAACAGCGCTGCCAGGGTCCTGATGAGGGTGAGGAAACACCAGCACATCACTCCCATCCTTCACACTTTACACTGGCTCCTTCACGCCCGTATAGAGTACAAGATTCTTCTGCACACCCATCACTGTGTGCACGGTGCGGCCCCCACGTATCTCACTGAGCTGCTCACACCACACACCTCTTCCCGGACCCGGTCAGGCCAACAGCACCGTCTGGCCCCACCCAGGACACGGCTAAAAACAATGGGCGACAGGGCCTTCGAAGCCGCAGCTCCCCGTCTGTGGTTCGCCCTCCCAGACCACCTTAGGGCCCCACAGACGGTGGATTGTTTTAAGAAAGGACTAAAAACTTTCCTTTTTAGAAATGCCTACAATTGTTGATTTTAGATTTTTTTTAATAGGCTACATATGCCTTTTACTGTATTGATTTTAATGATTGACTTTTTACTCTGTTTTTAATGTTATGGTCTTTTAAACTTGTTTTAATTTCCCTTTTTTAAATGTAGCACTTTGAGATTTGAAGTCAAATGTAAAGTGCGTTATAAATAAAATTCATTATTATTATTATTAAAATGTTATTAATATGTGAAGACCAGGACATTGTTTGATCTAAAGTAACACCCAATAGTATAATAGCCTGCTCCACAGGTTGGCTGTTTATAGTTAGAACGAATATTGGTGCATCTCTCATGGCATGTTTAGAGGCTAACATCATACACTGTTTTTTCAACACATTCAGTTTTAACATGTTTGACAGTACCTGCTCATGCACCAATTCTAGTTTTTGTTGTAAGATATTATTAACTTCATGCTGATCTGAGGATGAGACATATACAGTTATGTCATCTGCATAGACAGTCATACAGACCTTATGCAACACATATGACATCTCATTCACATAAATACTGGAAAGCAAGGGACCAAGACAGCTGCTTTTTTTCTGTTAACTAAATAAGTCCTCATACAACATAATGCATGACCTTTGAATCCATACGAAGATTCAATTCAATTCAGTTTATTTCTATAGCTCCAATTCACAACACAAGTCATCTCAAGGCACTTTCCAGTTCAACCAGATCATCCAGTCAGATTGATTCAAAGTTTTCTATCTGAGGAAAACCAGCTGATTGCATCGACTCATTGACTCTTCAGCAATCCCTCACACTAAGCATGCTTGTAGCGACAGTGGAGAGTAAAAACTCCCTTTGAACAGGAAGAAACCTCCAGCAGAACCAGGCTCAGTGTGACAGAGAGAGAAGCAGAGATACAAAAGGCAACTGTCAACCAGCTCCACAGGCGGCCCCGTCCAGGAAACACACAGCCAGGCAGACGAGCTCCGAGCCAGCTCCCATGTCAGAGGATGAAGAGAGCACATCCAGTCATACAGTCATAGAGAAACAGGACTACACTGAAAAACAGGCCAAGCTCCAACATCTAGAAACAAAGGTGTTGATGGCAGCAGCACAGCTGATATTTCTCTCCAGGATGGCGTCAAACAGGAACAGATGAGGTGAACCTACTTTGAGAAAAACCAAAGAGAGCATCATTTTAGAAATTAACAGAGTCTGCAGAGTGGGAGAATAGAGATAGAATGAAGCAGAATGATGAAATAGGGGTCCCTACATGTATGTCCTCCAGAAGTCTAAGCCCATAGCGGTATAACTACAGAGATAGCTCAGGATAACTTCTCAAGTAAGAATGAATGATCAACAAGATTAAATGCTGCATTAAAGTCCAGAAATGCGATACCTACAAAATGTTTACTATCTATTCTGCGCAATCAGTCATCAGTAAAAGCTGTGAGAGCTGTACTGGTACAATGTTTATTTTAATAGGCCTGCTGAATGTCAGAATAAAGATGATTAATTTCAAAGTAATTCTTAATGTGTTTTTCAAAAGACTAAAAACTTGTATAATGTTTTTTTTTATGAATCTTGTTCACAAGTTAACAATATTGCTTAGAGGCTGGGTTATTAAATGTGCTGCGGTCTTTAAAAGCTTTCCATCCATATTATGAATTCCAGAAGGTTTATTACAATTGATATTTTTCAATGTCTTTAAAATGTAATTCTGCTCAACTGGTTTGAAAGAAAATGAACACTTCTTATCATACATTATTTATGATGGTATTTGATTTGTTACTACTAAGTGGGGGCATCTTATTTCGGATAGTGTTCACTTTGTCCACACAGTAAGTTTTGACGTAGTTTGCAATATCCAAAGGTTTGGTAATAAATGATCTCTCCACCTCAATAAAGGAAGGTATTTTATTCAATTTCCTTAGGCCTATAATTTCATTTATTAGCCTCCATGTCTGTTAACTGTTATTACCATATTCTTTAAGTTTCATTTAATCATATCCTTTGCTCTTTCGACTTTTCATTTTGCTTACTTTATTCTGAGTGATTTGTATTCTTGGCAATCTGCAGAATTGTTTGTTCCCCCCCCCATACTATCCCTTTGTTGTGAATAATTGTAATATTCAATGCCCAGCCAGCTGGGATGCCATATTATGTTGTAATACTTTAAGATATGTATTTCCCTCCCCGGCAGGGGTGGCAAATATGTTTATGTAATCAGATATTATTCAGACTGTCATAAAGTATATTGTTTATGAGCACATGCCCTATTGGCTGTGTGTTAGAACAATAAATGAAAGAGTGATTCGAGCTCTAATCATGGTCAAACAGTTAATTCTGCACGTACATGGAATAAATTCACCACAACTTCTGTTCAAAATATGAGTTTATTAACAAAAAAACTCTTAACTAAGACTTGTAAAACTCAACTAAACTAAACTACTATTTACAAAGAGCAAGGGGTAACATGGTTGAAAAGATGTTTAAGATCTTAAAGAATTTGGGATGTGATCAAATTAGCTTTTCACTAATTTAGAGAAATTGGAATGTTTTCAACCAAATCAATTAAACTCTATTCAATTCAATTCAGTTTATTTCTATAGCGCACAAATTTACAACACATGTCATCTCAAGGCACTTTACAGTTCAACCAGATCATCCAGTCAAATTGATACAAAGTTTTCTATCTAAGGAAAACCAGTTGATTGCATCGACTCATTGACTCTTCAGCAATCCCTCACACTAAGCATGCTTGTAGCGACAGTGGAGAGGAAAAACTCCCTTTGAACAGGAAGAAACCTCCAGCAGAACCAGGCTCAGTGTGAGCGGCCATCTGCTGAGGCGACTGGGGTTCAAGGAGACAGAAGCAGAGATACAAAAAGCAGCTGTAAAAGGCGGCCCCGTCCAGGAAACACACAGCCAGGCAGACGAGCTCCGAGCCAGCTCCCATGTCAGAGGATGAAGAGAGCACATCCAGTCATACAGTCATAGAGAAACAGGACTACACTGAAAAACAGGCCAAGCTCCAACATCTAGAAACAAAGGTGTTGATGGCAGCAGCACAGCTGATATTTCTCTCCAGGATGGCGTCAAACAGGAACAGATGAGGTGAACCTACTTTG